AACCCCCTTTGGGGGAAAAAAAAAAAAAAAAAAAAAAAAAGGCCAGAAATGGATTTGTTAGCAATATGCGCAGAAGGATACCCAGCACCAAGGACTGGATATAAAACCAATTAAACAGGCTCAACTGAACTAGGCTCCCCTGCTGTGTGCTAAGCATTTCAAACACCCTGAATCAAATCTGAAATCCTACTTTGTTGACTTGCGCAAGGGGCTGCACAAGATGAAAGGCTCCCGAATATTCTAAGCTGACTTTGAGTTGGGATATTATTAACTGAGACCTCCATCATTCACTGAAATTCTACTTAGGAATTGGATGCAAAAGGGCATCGTCAGCTTCCCTCCACACTATCAACACCTGTTCAAAAATGCAAAATACAAAAATGCAGCCCCTTGGGAAACAAAGCAGGCTGCCTCAGAATCAACTCTACCCCCAGGAGGCAAAAAGCGCCTTTCGAAGGCACCCAGCCCCACAGCCATTTTGCTGTCCCCTTCCTACCAACTGCTGCCTTGCTGGTCCATCTTCCCCAAGGCTCTTTTCCTGCAAAGTTCAGCAACCAGAGACCTCTCGGTGCAGAGGTTCTGCAACTTTGGTTCTTGAACTGGAAGGACTCCTACTGCTGGCCAAATAAGGGCTTTGAAACAGAAATGGACAAGTGTGGCAGGAAGAGCAAGGGTGATAAGTGGGGAGAAGACAGGCAGGAAGGGACGTGGGGTAATGACAGTTGAGAATCCAAAGCATCCATGCAATAGCATTTTGAAGAAAACACTCTAGTCAGGAAGGCATCTAATTCATTATGGCTGCTTCCAACACCGGAAAACTCTTGGAATTTGGGGTGAAATTGCTTTCATTACAACTTTTGTAGGAACGTCTGCTTTCAGCAGGAACCCCATTCTGCAGTAACGGGAACGGAATCCAGGGTGACCTCCCTACCACTGCTTTGAAATCATTAGGAATTATGGAAGTCAACCAGTTCTCACTGAGCACAATGAGCCTTTCACTGGGAAGGGCTAGGATTCCTTGCAAGTCACACAGGAAGCTGCTCCAGGATGCTGCACCCATGTTTCAAGTTCAACAGCAAACCTGAGATCTACTTTCACATTTAGGTTTAAAAGAGCAGACTTAAATTAGCTCACTGGCTGCTTGTTTTAGCTTCCAGGGCAGTTATGAATCATTTGTCACCACTTGGCAATCTCATACAGACCATTTATCCCTTATACTAGTTTCTTATTGCACAGCTTGAATTTTCATGCCAACATCATACAATCGTTTTTGCAGAGAACTTCACGGGGGGAGGCGGGGAGAAAGCAACTATGCATAAACCTGGAATTTCACCCCCCAGGAATATAAATAGAACCATCAAACTATATAAACAAATACAAATATTCTGAAGCCACATTATACTGCCTGGAAAGGCTGTTTTAGACTGCAGAACTGGTAATATTTTTCTAAGCAAAATGCAAAGTTTTACATTCTTTGTAACATTTATTCTTCAGATGGTAGAGCACACACTTTTCACACTGTAGGTTCCCAGTATCCCCAGTTCAAAAAGAGACAGAACAGGTAATCAGAAAGATTTTTCACTACCTGAAGACCCACTGTCAATTAAAGGGCTAAATAATCTAAGGTAGATTTCTGTGATTCTGAAGAATAATATAAAGCAGGTTATGCCCACTCTCTAAAAACCAATCAGAAACCCAAATCATTATCTGTCCAGCTTCTCTAAGCAAACTGATGAACATACTATGTTCTGAGTCTCTACCATGCTTCATTCTGTTACCACATTAGTAGAGGAAGAAAATGTATGAACTTGTGCACACTCATATATGTGTAATTCACTAATTACACATTGTATGCATTCCCCCCCTCCCCCATACCTGGGTAGAACAGATTACATGAATTAAACCAGAAATCAGGAGCCTTTTCAGACCCCATGAACTATTTAATATAATGGCTCAGGCACCTTCTCTCTTCCCTTCAACATTTGGATGAGCCTTCTAAAAAAGACTGGATTTTTCAAAATTAAAAATCACCCAGGTTCAGGGACTCATTTGTGAGTCCAAATGAGTGTTGCAGCCCCTGCATGTTGCTGACTTCTGCATTAAGTACTTAGAAGAACCCTTTCTTTGTCCAAATGATTGGCTCTAATAAAACTCTGTTCATATTGCTATGTCCTAGTTTCTAAAGTACAATCACCCATGTACGCCATGCCCAGCATCCTCCCCCATATAAGCATTTGAAATCAGTGCAAGACTTTTTGATAGAACACCAGTTGCAGAACCCTGAAATCTGATAGTTGCAGTCCCTCTCAACTTCAGAAAACGCAGGAAGTTCTTTTACATGAAATGCAGTAAAGCTCATTATTTTCTATATAGATTTATTCTTAAAAAGACTCGTAAAAACAAGCTTTTTAGATATTTTTACAATGCAGCTCACTGATGCAACCAGTTACATTATTTACATTTTCCTAAACTTTACAATATGTAACTTCCTAACATAAACTTTCTCTTTAACAAGTATTTCTAAAAGAGAAATACTGTCTTATCTAATGTCGTTATCTGAATAAATTTAAGATTTCTGTATCATCTAGTCAAATTATGAAGTCCGTCTGAAGTCTACAGTTAAAAGCATACATTAGCAGATAAATGTTGAAAATGCTCTGAGGATAGAAAAATCTACATTAGCCAACAACAGGCAAGCAACATTAGAATTCTATGAGAGATTTCTTCCTAATTTTTTTCTCCCTTCTAAAGCATACATAGGCTTAAACAATAGACAAGAAGTGAAATGCTGCAGCTTAGACTGTATCTACTATTATCCTTGCACACGATACTAGTTCACTTTCCTAAAAATTTTTTTTTTAAATCTTCCTTTACTTGCTAAAAACCCTGCCCTCAGCCAAGGTCACATAAAGTTTTGTTCAAGTTTAGACGAAACATGCTAATAAAGATTGGGGGGGGCTAAATCTTGCCAGCATTTCCTCCTTTCTTCCAAACTCACTGGATTTTAAGTAATTATGGAGAATAAAAATGGTTAAACAAATCCATATGAGGTAAAGGCAGAGGCAGAGGAGGGAGGGAGGGTGAGAGAAGCAGAAGTCCCTGTTTCCTGGCAGACATTTTGGCTCTTGTTTACATTTGCAGTCTGTGTTTCTCTTGTTGCAGAGCAATATGGCTGTCTGTAGAGCTGACAGCTTTGAATGCACAACCACTGCTGGCTGCAGGCTCTTGTTCCCTCCCAGTATCAAAGGTTGTATAAAATTATGCAGACGTTGCATATCCAAGACAAGGAGTTCCTCCTCATATTTACATGGCTTGACAACTCAAGCGCTGCTCAGCATGGTCTTTCATTTCTCCTTCTGACAGGCTTTCCAAGTGTATGGAAAAAGGCTAAGGATAGTTTTGATTTGTTCATGGAAACAAGGAAGACCCAAGGCATTTAAAAAAAAAAAAAAAGCACACAAGCACATCCCAATGTAAATTTCCAGTGCTCACAAAAGGAGGGGGGAGGATGTGAAGAACAATATTAACCTGAGAAGTTTGAACTACTTACCATTTGATGATGGTGATGGGTGTTGGGAATGTTGGTTTCTTGAAAAAATGCACTCAAAGCCGTCTATGTTAAAAAAACAAACACACAAGCCTACTATTAGAACAAGGGGCTACAACCCCAAGGGAAAAGTCAAGTTGGAGGGCAGGAATAGCAACATATTTTTACAGAGAGATTCTTGCCCAGCCCATTACTGCCCCCCACCCCCATTTTTTAAAGCACTGACCTAGGACAATGCTAATCTTCTTTCCTCTCCCTTTGGGGAAGGAAGAAAAAAGGGAAACCACAAACCCAGCAGAAGAGGACAATGTATACATAGCTCATCACCTTCAGCCTCAGCCAGGTCTTCCAACCCATAAGCCAACAGACCACAGGAGCTTTTTCTAGCCATCCTCCAAATGGGGATGAAGTGAACTGTAGCCCCACACAGGAGGAACAAAGCTGGTTGGAGAACATTTTAAAATGTAATAAGAAAGCCCCTACCTCTAACACTGAAAAATCAGGGCAGATGAACAAAAGTGTGTAGTTTTAAAAGAAGATGCAGGGGGATTTGCTCCACGGAAGCAAAAGACAAGCCAACAGCTTTTGTAAGTATAATGCTATGCCCAGCAGAAATGGACAAAGACATTTATCTTGTAGATGCCAAAGGCTTGGCTGAAACCAATCTTTTCCTCCTCCAGTCTTGTAAATCAAAACAGAGGACATATTTAAAACACTGTGGCTAGACCAGGGAAGGATTCGGCCATATGTAAACAAACGCACTTCTTTAAAAGCAAGAATTTCTAACCACATCTCAGCAGACAATCAAGTTTCTTCTCTAGGTAAATAAAGACCACACATACTAAGGAGGAGATATTAGCAGGCCCAGCTCAGAAACTGATGTCCCCGCTGCCTCCCCAAATAACCGGGGGTGGGGGGACAGTCTTCTTGATACTCCTTTGCTACCAAATCTGGTGCCTCGCTCAGGAAATAAGTGAAGGGGGATGGGTGGGCAAGATAAGCCTTCACACTCCGCCAAGGCATGGCCTACTGTTCGTTTTTTACAGGGATGTTTGCACTATCCATGCAGGAATATTTGCAGTTTACTCAGTCCGAATGATCAAATTAGCCTCCCCGCAAGTAGGCTGTGTGGTCACGCGTCCTGCACTCTCTCTGCTTGGCCAATTCGAGAATATTAATGTTGTCCACCCGCTTCTTCCCCTCCCCTTTTTCCCACGACCAGCAGCAACAACAGATTAGTCAACACGCAAAGGCCTAGCACATTCCTAGCCCCGGAAGGCACTCATTGTAGAAAGAGACAGTAGTTATTAAAATGGCTCTGATGGATTGTTTACATGCCCAGTGCCAAGGAAAAGGCTCCCCCGTCTCACCCGGCGGGAGGCAGGGCAGCAGAACATCCCTTAAACCACCGTAGCCACCGACCCCAGACCCAGAACAGAAAAATTAGGTAGGCGGGGAGGGTGGTCGTGGTGATTCCTTTTCGCCTCGCGCGAAGGAAGGCGAAGAGGGGGGAGGAGGAAAACCAGAAAGGCTCGCAACGCACCTCAAATTGCCAATGTGCAGCTTGCAGTAGCTGCTTCGCTTGATCCGCCGCACAGCCCGCAGCCAGCACGAACTGATTAATCATGACTTGATGCCGAAGCTCCTCCATATTCACCGACATGGCGAGAGAAGCGAAACCACAACACGGAAGGGAGGAGGAGAGCCAAACGCACTCAAGGTGGTGGCGGCGGGGATTCGTATTTTGGGGGGAGGAAAAAATCGACAAAGGCTTCTTCTCCTTCTCCTCTTCCACCCCGAAACGCCAGGCGGCTTCTCTGTTCCGGAGGCTTTAAGCTAACCCGCGCCGGGTTGGAGCCAAGCCGCCTCTCGGCCTCTCTAGCTTCAGTCGGCAGGAACAAGGCTATGTTGATATTTCCCCTTCCCCTCTCGTAGATCCTCGGCAGCTAAACCACCACAAACAACAGCATCCAGGGGAGGAGCATGTGGAGAGGATCGGAGTGGGCAGGGGGGAAAGCCGGAGGTGCCTCAACGTTCAATTCCACGCTTTCCTTGCCCGCTGATTGGTTGCTGCAGTGTTCTCTGCGTGTATGAACGTTCGATTCGAATCTTCCAGGCGGTGGATGTTTCTCTTTCTTTCTCCCACCCTTTCTGCCCCGTTGCTTATATTTCATTGGAGGAAGTAAACCATCAGGTTCCTTGTTTATTGGTTAGCTGCTGTGTTTTGGCTGAGAACGAGGTCATTATTGGTCCTTTTTTCTCGTAAGGGAGGGGTAAAACTATGCTCTTGTTTGAACTGAACTGGAAATTCTACTCCCTTTGTTGATTGGCTGCTTTGCTCCCTCCCCCTCCCGTTCTTTTTTCCACTGTTGTAAAAAAAAAAAAAGAACAAAAAGTATAACTATAGACAACAAGTTCATTGATAAACTTCTCTTTTACAAATATATTCATCTGGAACAGCAGGAATGTGCAGCAGTGTCTTATTTCCTTTGAAAATATGTGATTACCCTGAAAACGAACCTTATCATATAATTGAAAAAGGTAGAGAGAACACTCACAGCTCTTATCGGAAACTAGGCTGCCGCGAACTTCCGGATCCTTATTGCTCAGAGAGAATAAAGATCGGAAATGTTTTTTTGAAGTCTATATTAGAACTTCTTTTACTAAGTCATAATGGAATGAACTGCTAGTGATAACTTCCCTTTGGAAAACCCACAGTAGTACAGAAAACGGAACTCAGCTTTTTTCTTTCATTTTTTATTTTTTTTTAGGCCTTGAATGAAAGAAAGCTCAATCACGTGCCTCAGGATTTGCGACCCCCTAAGATGGGGGCGATCCCCTTCAGTCAGTCCCTAAGAACTTTTTGCTGTATACTGCCAGATGTGGATCAGAGCTAACAGAGGTTGGACTAACATTATGATGTTGCAAAATTGACTTTTTGTGTTAGGGCCACTCTGTGAGCTCATATTCACCATTTTATCTCAAAGGGTAGCCCCCAGTGAATGCTAACTACACACACAAAATAATTCTATTCCCATTCTATTTTATGCTATTAACATGATTTTTGTTTTTATACTTACTGTAGCGTAAGAGCTATGTCATTGGTTATATGCTGGTCTATGACTGAAATAAAATTGATTGAACTACACACACAACTGCTTCAATACATAGCAGCTGCATTTAGAAAGCGGCCGAGTTTGATTGAAAACTGCAGCTGCTAAACAGTGTGGGGCTTTGTGAGAGTAGGACTCTCTGTTCTGGCCCAAAGGTGGATCCCATGTAAAACCACATGAAACCAAGCGTATCCATGATCTACCATGTGACAATGAGTTCAGGTTGATCATATATAAAAATAATGTGAAATCAAAAGGATCTGTGTTGAATTTAGTGGCCCCAACCTTTTTTTTTTTTTTT